AAGGGAAATTTTAACAACTTTACAGTATGGTCAGTTTTCTTTTCTGATTCAATGTTTGCTCTCAAGAGTCCAATTCATTTCGTTCGACTTCGGCATCTTTCATTTTATTTCCTGCTTTCTTCAATTTGTATTTAATTTTAATGAAATTCATCTCATCATTAATAATCCTTCAAAATTATTTCATTTTTCGATTTATTAATCCCGTTATCATTAACTTTTTCTGAAAATTGTAGCATCAATCATTTCCCAAGTGTTTTAAAATATTTAACACGAGGTTTTGTTCTGTTTTAAAGATATTTGCACCGGCAATAAAGCAGAAAAGTTATTATTACTTGCTGTCGTTAATTAGCGGGGGTGGGGATCATGATTGAAGTGTATACCTTCTTCGCTCATTCATACACAGAACTAATATATTTGTAAAGTAAAAAGAAAAAGAAATTCTCACACAGATTATAATTTGAATTTTGAACCATAGATTTTAAGTTAACATTTTTTGTAAGAATTTCCTTTAATCACTGGTTTTCTTAACTTTCACAAGCTGTTATTTTTTTCTCACTCAGTACAATCCCCGGGCCACTTGGGTAGAGGGTTACAGAGTTTCGTGTAAATTAAAGCTCGTATATTAACCCTAATTTCATAAAGTTTGGCTCTTGATGTTAGATATTCATGAAAATAGTCAGGATTATATGACTATAATCTGGCAGCTGATCTCTCTTCTGATCTAGTTTTAACGGAGTGATTCTGGCTTAGAACATTCAATATATCAAAAATCCCAAATAATAATCTTCTCTCATCCATGAGCAGACCCTGAATTTGATGAAGAGAGGCTCCTTAATTTGAACTCCTTTTGGGACTCAAATTCACATCAGAACTCAAGTTAAACTCATATATACAGAGGGCTATGATAAGTTTTTAGCCACCCTTGATTACAGCAATTTTAGCTTGTTTAATAACGTCTCTTCTTTTTTTCAGACAATACCGTGTTACTATCAAGACTCTCTCATGTATGAACGATAGTTGACTTATATTTTGCAATGAAAGTTCGTGGAAGTAAGGAAATTAGTGAATTTCAACAAGTGCATATAATAGGATGGCATCAGTGTGGCAAATAAAATAAAGACATTGCTAGGTTTTTCCAGGTTAATCATGAAACGGTTAATAATATTGTCAAGAAATTTAATGAAGAAGGCCATTGTCATGTGGAACAACATTCAGGAAGACCAAACATCATGTCTGAGTGAACGAAAAGGGCACTGAATATGGAAGTCATTAGAAACCGTCCCCAGAGAGTCAAAGATGTCGCCAACAGCATGGAAATGTCGTCATATGCGGTGAGAAAGACTCTGAAAGAGCTAGGCTATCAAACAAGAGTTGCAAGAAAGAAGCCCTTGATTTCAGAGTTTAACAGGAACCTTCGTATGGTTATTATGAATTTTGGCTGTCTGTAATTTGGCCAGATGAAAGTAAATTCTGCCAATATTCGAATTCGAGATAGGTTTATGTTTGGAGAAATCAGAATGAGACTTGGAACACTGAATGTCTGCAGGTGACAGTGAAACATGGAGGGATTGGTGTAAGGCACTGTCTGGTTTAGTGGGTAATCTGAACTGATTCCTGTTGACAAGCGGTTGAATGATCCAAACTAATGTCAAATATTAGAGAAAAGACTACTGCCACTATTTGAACCAATCAGATTGATAAGAATGTCTACCTTTTACAAGAAGATAGAGGGCCATGTCATACGAGTAAAATAGCAAAGGCCAGGAAGGAATCGCAAGGAATCAAGTCACTGTCATGGGTAGCCTAAAGTCCTGACATGAATCCAATACAGCACGTTTGGGAGCACCTTGACCGAAGACTTCGAGAGCGTGAAACCAAAATCACGTCAATGGCAGCCCTTAAAGAAACGTTGCTAAAGGAGTGGCAAAATATGGCTCAGACGATTGTTGATCAAATCCATGAAAAATCGAATACAAGCGCTGAAACTAGCAAATGGAGGACCTATTCTATACTAGTTCCAAATACTGTTTATTTATGTTGAATAGGGATTGCGTAATTTAATTTTGGATGTAGTTTATTTCTCCTGGCTAAAAACCTTTCTTAGGCCACTGTACAATCCATTGTGAAATATTCCTTTGTACCGCTTCGGCTTTCTATTTATAACAGCCAGATCAAACCAAAGATGGAGTATTGCTGCTATATCTGAGCTGAAGCTGTCCAGGCTTTATTTCCCTCTCTTGATACAGCCTTGTTGGTGGTTAGTTACTTTCTACTCTACAGCTCATATCTCACAGGTAAACTGTCCGTAGCCTTTCGTTACTCTGTCGCTAATTCCATGTTCTGATGAGCTACATTCCTTGGTTCAGCGTGTTCTGGCCTTCATAGTTAAGAGATAGGCCATGCCACATATACTAGAATCAATCATCCATATTCTCTTTTTATTCCGTTAGAAAGAAGGAAGTTCCATTCGGAAAGAAAAATATTATTGTTTCTTTGTAGCGACAATTGTTACACTATTTTAACATGAATCAGAGTGTAGTATCTGCCCTCGTCTCGTCTCTTCTTAGATACATTCAATTTACGTCCTTTCAACAAGAAACAAACATAATAATATGAAGTGGAAAGAAATTGTCAAAGCGAGGAAAAAGAGGTGGGGAGAAAAGAGAGTGGTAAGGAGAAAAATAGGAAACCAGAAAACTAGGTTTATGGGTAAATGTACATCCATAAAGAGATACGAGTTTGGTAGCTGGATAACAATGGAAAGATGTTTCCACCTATCCCTGTTAAAAGATAATCACTGGGAGATATAAAATGTACAAAATTTGTGATTATTAAAATTTCTTTATGGGGAGATTAGGGGAGAATTAATTTTCCGATGATGACGTGCAGGTAATGAATCTGAACTTTCAAAGTTATCAAATAATAATAATAATGATAATAATAGTAATAATAATAATAATAATCCATAGACTGATCTTTAAGAGGGATCAAGTGGTAGTTAGTCTTCGCAAATTTCAAAGCTCAAAGTAGTATAACCGATTTCTATATTGTTGCCGTCTGAAATGTTTCTATGACCAGAGCTTGACAGCTAACCTAACTTTAATAACTCAGTGTGTGTGGCGTGGGTAGATGGTCTTATTTAATACCCTCGAAAACAAAACTAACATTCCATCGTCACCGAGCGAACCCTGAATTTTTCACCCCCCACCTCCGCAATGAACAAGTGCTCTCTCTCAGGGCGGCCGTGTGCCTTGGTCGCCTATTTGAACTTAAACTCAACGCAGACCTCAAGTGGAACTCGTGCATATGTTTCATCGCTAAAGATGCTGGAAACATGGTCAGTTTTTTATACCATTCCACTAAGTACCTGACTCCTACTATCTTATACGCTGACAAAAGCCACATTAAACCAAAAATGGAGTACTGCTATCATACATAGACAAGACCTGCCTAATCTTCAGATTCCAGTCTTGATATAGTCCAAAAGCGTCTCCTCCGCGTCCTTATGGGTGACAAGTTATTTCCTACCCTACCACCCCTTTCCGACAGACACAACCTCGCAAGCCTCTTGCTGTTCTATCGCTATTTCCATGAAAAGTGTTGGGACGAACACTTAGTTTTACAAGTTCTAACCTTCAGGGCTAAAATCCGCTATGCCATGCACATTGTACAAAGCATGCTCATTTTTATTAGATCTATTTTCTCAGTTCTATTCTATTGGTGAAATGTAAGTTCCACTCGGGCAGCTTCTTCCTACGAATCGGTGCTTTTTGGAATTGACTAACGATCACTACAATCTTGATCTGTTCAAGTCTACGATCAACCTTTATATTCCCCACATATCCCTTAAAAATGTCCCTCTTACTCTTTAAGCCTCTACTTCGAGGGACATTTGGGTCTTTTACAATGAACATCGTTGTAAAAAAAAATAATCTCCATTCTGATATCGTTGTAAAGATCTATTCTTATTCTTGTCATTAAACATTCAAATATTTGTCGTTTTATCAGGGGTCGTAAATAATAGCGATGCTTATTAGCGAAGTAGAAATTTCTTGTAATCACAATGTTGTTACGGTAATAGAAGATATTGATTCTATTTGCAAATTTGTCTTTTAGATTCACTTCTTGTTCTTGTTTCTCCTTATTTCTCAATGGTTCCTTCAATTTTCTTTTCTTTCCTTTTCTGTATTTCTTCGACGTTGTTTTTATATCATTTTATATTTGTTCATCTTTTTTATCTGCTTTACTCTTTTCTTTCTTTCTTTTCTTCCATTCTTTCTTTCTTTTCTTCCATTCTTTCTTTCTTTTCTTCCATTCTTTCTTTCTTTTCTTCCAATTTTTCTTTCCCATACATTATCTTTTTGTTAATTCATTTTGACACTCGTTCTTTCTTTCTTTCTTTCTTTCTTTCTTTCTTTCTTTCTTTCTTTCTTCTACATTATCCTGTCGCTTACTCATTCAATTTTAGTTTTCGCTCAAATTCTCTCTCTTTCTTTCTCCTTTTATCACTTTGTCTTCACTTTTCATTTTTTTCTTGTTTTTCTTTTTAACCTCCTTTAATTCTTCCTTCTCCGGCATCATTCTTTCAACTGGTGCTCATTAATCTTCTCCGCCTACTAACATTCAGTGCTTCCCCAAAACCCGACCGATCATCACGCCCTGATTACATCCCTGTTTTCGCCTTTCGAAAATTCCTCATCCGAAATGCAATCTGCAAATCCAATCATCCGTCCGCACACCTCCCAGCACACCTCACCACCTTCACACATATTCGGCCAAGATCTTACCCCAATATTCTATTCAAATTTGTGGGATTTGAACATTCTCAAGCCCCCACAGATTGCGCGCCACTGTCGATCAAATAGGACGGATTGATAAAAGATATATATATATATATATATATATATATATATATATATATATATATATATATATATATAAAGAGAAAGAGAGATAGAGATAGGAGAGTTGAAGAGGAACGATAAAAAGAGTAAATAAAATTATACATGCTGAAAACTAGAGAAAGAAAGATAAAAGAAGAAAGGGAAAACAATGTAAGAATGTTCGAGAGTGTGCGAGAGAGAGTAGAGAGAGAGAGTAGAGAGAGAGAGAGTAGAGAGAGAGAGAGTAGAGAGAGAGAGAGTAGAGAGAGAGGATAGAGACAGAAAAACTATACATAAATAAAAAGACGTAACGAATATTGTAAATGTATAATGAATGACAACATTTGAACTAAAAATCTCAAAAAGAAAACATGAAAGGAAAAGGTAAATAAAAGTAGGAAATAACAAAAAAAGAAAATTAAATGAAAAGAAGAGGATTCCAATAGAAGAGGATAAAGAAAAGAAAAGAAAACAGAAGTAATAAAAGAATGAAATCATAGAGAAAAGGAAAAACGGAAAGAAACGCTAAAAAAGAACGTGAGATAAAGAAAGAGACGAAAAATTAATGAGAAAATAATCACAAAAAAGAATTTCCAAGGAAGAGCAAAAGAAAATCCGATCGATTTTTCTGATGATTTGCGATTCTTATTTTCCTATTCAATTGCATTTTCCTTTCTTTAATTTTGATTTTTTTTTTCATTAAGCTTTTCTAATATGGAAACAATGAAATATTCCAATCAAATTTTCCTATTTTCCCTCGCAAAACGAAAGCAGTGTGATGTGATCTTATCAGTTCTCCGCTAACATTCCCATAATTCTTAGAAAAGAACGTTCTTTCACTGTAGATGACTCCAAATTTTATATCTACCTTCGTATGTATCAGTCAGATAGATTTATACTGATTTAGATGTTCGGAAAATGTTAGTTTAGGCTAAAATTATAAGGAAAACTGATATTTTTTTCCCAATTATAAGTTGTTATAGAAATCAGCAATTAAGGTTACGAAATTTTACTCCTGTTATATTTTACAGAACATTTGTTATTTACAAGACGATTAGTACGTTTATTAACGTGACGAATATTCTTGTAATTTTTCCTGTAAATATATTAATACATCAATTATGGTTTTATAATCCTTGTAGATCTTGTGATTCTTGTATGCATTTTTCGAGATTTCTTTGCTTTGCATCTCTCCACTTCTCTTGAGATATTTATGTGTTTCTATCTCTTGAAGATCTTGACCTAGCATCGCCTATGTTGTACTTAGGGTATTCTTCTTGCATTTTTACATGTTTCGAGTCCTCTTGACCCTGTTAAACATCCGTGTCCATATCTTCATTTATTTCATCCTCAAGGGCTATGTCGCTTCGTTGCTGGTTTGATAAATCATTACTGGGAATGCCTATAGAAATCTCTTGGCCCCTCTCATCCTCATAAGCCTCTCGGGGCCTTATCTGATCTGCATGAGCTACTATGTTGTTGCCTTTGTTTTGGATGTGTTTCAGCCTGTTTGCCATATAAATTTAGCCATTCCAGATATGATTTCTTTTTATACCACAATTCTCAAACTTTTAACATTTGGCAACAGTAGTTTTGAAGTCAACAATACTGAGGAGAATGCAACTGATTTTGTGTTGTCGGGTGAATTCATGTACTGCACAATCTTACTTAAAAAAGAAGGACTATATGATATGAAACACATTCAGATTATGTTCAGAAATGCATAGAAGGAGACATAATAAATGTACCGAAATCAAAGGTAAAATTGATGATTGCAAATGTAAAATTGATGATTGCAAATGTAAAATATACCATCAATATATATATATATATATATATATATATATATATATATATATATATATATATATATATTAGGATTAATATATCATTTTATTTTCACTGGATATGTATTAATCTTTATGTTTTAACAGCTAATTTTCTTAAAATCCTTAAATTCAGTGTGTGTCCGAGATACTTAATAAAGTGTAGAACTCGAGACTTCCAAAAACGTTATTAATGCTCAAAATTTGCCCATATTTATACCACGGAAGTGGGATATGGATGCTTAGGGACGATAGAAATCTGAGGTTTCTTTGATTGCAAAATATTGGGGGTCAATTCATCATTCTGCAAACAGGCACTACTCATGAAAGACAAATGATTTAATCAAGTAATATGAGACATAATTTGAATCTTTGTTATGACCGGCAAATTCTCCATTGATGGCTTTCAGGAGAGACCGAGTTATCACCCTGCGAATGTTGGGCAATATTTTGATTAGTGTTGATAGCCTATGCAGGAGACATAGTGACTGTTGATCAACGGTAGGAAATGAAGATAAAATAGTTATCTACCTTTATCTCAAATGTAATCCGTACTTTAGAGGCTACAAACCACGGGTTGTTATAATTTGAAGAGAAACGTTTCTTATTGAAACATTATGAGAAGAAACAAATAAACTGGATATAGGACTGCCAGACACAAAATTAAATCGAATTGAATATTCGTCGAATCGGAAAAAGAGATGAGAATGTCATCGACATAATCAATGTAAAATGTCAGAGAAATAGTACAATAGACACGACATTCAGACAAGAAGACTGGGTTTGATAGTAAGAAGAATAGAAACTGTCAGTTCATTGATATAGCAGATAGCAGTGAATTCAAAAGAGATTGAAATGTTCTAAAATACCAGGACCTTCATCGGGAGTTGAAAATGATGTGATTAGTATCATTACCATAGGAGTGGTCATACGAGAAACGCTGCCAAATGACTAAACTCGAGATTTTATGATGATGATTGAGAGATTGGCGGTAATAAAGATGACAATCGAACAAATCGTAACAGACTCCATCCACCTGATAAAGAAAGTGATGGAAAAGTGTATCAGCAAAATCTCTGACAGCATCAAAATACAAGAAGTCTACCAGATCATCCTCTTCATTATTATTAAATATTAAGGAGGACTGTATCCATCAAATAAATCCATTGTATCATCGTGGTCCAAGAGATAGACTCGTCTCCATGAGTGAGCAAAGCAGGACATGAAAGAAATCTCTTAATATTACTAAATGTGACATTGGTTTTCGTTTGTCAATAATTTAGACTGGAATGAAGTAGATTTTCGAAAGAGGCTCAAACGTCGAGCGTGTGTGCGGGTGTTTTGTTTTTTGTTCGCCTGAGAAGGAAAATGCCTATATTTTTCTGTCTTTAAGCAAACAAATAATTGAATTCAAATGAACAGGGTTCAGTTCTCCAAAGAGTACTTCTTCACTCTATTAAAAAGTTTCGGTTCTGGAATACGCTTTGGTGTGTGCATGGACGCATGGATGACCTATTCTAAAATACGATTTAGAGTCCTGTCTCGTGTCCACTAAAAATTACTTTGTCACTCGCCACTGTACAGTGAGAAATAGATGTCATCAGAGATACAACAGTAAACATTTCATTTTTGATTCCGTAAAATTTTGTTGTGGACAGGAATATCGTTCGCAGAAACTGAGGGAGCGTGTCAGGTGCTCAGCACTGTAGTGATCCGGTCATGAGATTTTGATAATAATAATAATAATAATGAAAATCTGGGCAAATTCTGGCTAAAGATAATTGAATTTTCTGGGAAACATCGAACAGAAATAATTTTTTATCAATTTTTTTTTTTTTAGAAAAAAATTGTAATTATATAATTTATTTCTTTTTAATTTGCTTGAAAGCCGGCATTACTTAAGATTGGATCTTTTTTAGCTAACACAGAAGAATGCTTTCACTTCTTGAATTGCTCTTGTAAACTTGTAATATTTTTATTTAGGTGATTGTTGTCAATTACTTACTGCTACGGTAATAAAATAAACGAAACACTTTTTAACTTTTTTAATTATTATCTCATTTGTAAGTGTACCATTCGTCTTTGCATTGAATATTGCTACTATATTTGCTATGGTGCATCTGGCATATATCTAGAGCAGATTCTTGACAATATCCAAAGAAAAATCTGCAACGTTATCGATCATGATCTGGCATATCGGCTTCAGTCGCTTTACCACCGCCGTAACGTAGCTTCACTGTATTTTTTCTATAAATATTTTAATGGTAATTGTTCTATGATCTTTTCTTTCCTTGGTACCTCGGCACAGTACTAGATTGGTAACTATGCCTCGTAGTTTTACTGTTCAAATGGTTATTTGTAATTATAAGTTTTATAGTAATAGTTTCTTTTCTCGCACTTCTCACTTGTGTAACTGCAACACGAAATCTTCAAATATTTAAAGGTAATGTCAATCATTATCTTTTGTTTCCTTGAATCCTGTTCTCTTATACTTCCCTTTGTTTCTTTCTCTCTATGTAACTCCTTTCATGTTAGTGTCTTAAAACAAGTGAATTGATTATTTTATTTTTTTAGCTTGGAAATATCATGAAAACTTGAAAGCAACAAACAAACTGATATAAATAAATAATATATGAAAGGAAGAAACAGTTGATGATAGCAAGTGTCCCTTAACGATTACTGTCTTTTTGCTTTTCGACTCGTTGCTTATACATTAAAATCTAAATTGAAAAAAAAATATGTAAGATAAATGATTTTGTATCAATTTCCATGAGAGAATAATAAACGCAAGACAAATTAATTATTTACAACAGTCTTTGTCATTAAAAAAAAACCTCTGTATATGAGCAAATGGATTAATCTTTGTATAATGCATTGTATTATACTATTGTATTGTATAATATATTGGATGAGATAAATCTCTGTATATTAACGAATGAATTAAATAGAAAACTTTCGCACGTGCAAAAACATCTAATACTGCTAAAACATTTGAAATTGCTTCGTTTGAATTTTTTCTGAAGTATTTAATTCTTCAGAAAATATTAAAGCTCTCTGAATCATGCGGTTATTGAAACGGATATTAGCGCGAAAAATAGAAGCGGTGAACCGAGTTCGAATTCCGGGCTAGTCTGTTGTGTCAACCCTTGGAAAAAAAAAAGATGTTAATATGTTTCATTGCTTATTAGGTGTGATTGGCAACCAATCTAAATGAAGAAAAATTCTGAATTCAAAATTGTTGAGAAATCAATTCCTTTATCTTTCCCAAGAAGTCATAGCAATTCACAGATAACAAAAAAAGAAATCTGTGGAGAAACAGGATCGCCTAGTTCGTCAAGGGATAAGACATTAAAAATTATTCATAACATAGATTTATTTCCTGATATACCGAGAGTTAATTTTTGAACACGTGTAGGGTTCGGTAAAATGCAGAACTCGGCAAGATTCGTTGACGTACATATACGTTGTGTAAGATTTAAATTTTTTATGATGTAAGATGCCAATGTAAATTTGAAGAAAATTACATTTAATGAGTTTAACCTTTTGTGACCTTTCGTAAGTGAAATATTATTTTACTTGAAGCAATGGTTTTAGAAGGAATTCTGTTTTTTTTTCCTTATATACTGCGTTTATAGTAAACTGCGATTTCCTCAGCAAAGAGATATTTAAAAGTTGGCCACCTAGGGGACAAAACCTCACGCTACTCAGCAAGAATTTATATTCAAATTAACCTTTTACTCTTCACGCACACGCACAAACACATATCTTTTGTTTGTTTTATAAATCTACATAGGTAGATATTGATAAAAACATAGTAGTTATAGTATACATACACACACACACACACACACATATATATGCACACACATATACGCACACACACATATATATATGGGTATTTTTGTATATTCATATCAGAGTTCGTTTATCTGCGCACAGACACACAAATACACACACACACACACACACACACACACATATATATATATATATATATATATATATATATATACAAACACACACTCACCTATATATCCTTTTAAGTATTTCTATTTTCCCTTAAATTTCATGATAAAATATTTTCATCTCATTTTTCAAATTCGGAAAACTCAGAGAAATACCTAATTCTTAACATTGATGGCACTAATTATAAATCGAATTACCATTTAAAATGTTTCTTATGAAACAGAAATAATGTTTTTACTTTGAGCAGAAGAAAACGTGAATTCACCTCCAATGCATACAGTTCTTGTGTGTACTTGTAAAATACCCCAAGACGTAAGATTCCGTAAGAAATCTTCTTAATTCCGCAGCGTTTCAATCGAGGAATTTTGGGATGACATCAGATTCCATCCTCTTTCCAAGAAAGGATTTAGAAATGTTAAAGCAATAATTCGGGCACACCCAGGATGACCTTCTCCCAGTCAAGGAAGAATACGCAGTCACCTGTCAAAGCTTTAGATGGTCAAGTCTACGTCCGGATTAGGTACAAAATCCTGACAGGTCAAATGGCAAATCCTTGTTGAGTGACCAATAGTCAATGACAAACAGGTGGGGTTTGAGTAAGAGGTAAAAGTTTTCCTATCGATGGAAACGGGTGGTCGATTGTGTGGCCAAGAAAATCAAAGTGGAAGAATGGGAATAGGTCTTTGGAGAAATTCTTTGGTCGAATTATTCTGTCTGATCAATGTTGATCGTACACAAATAAAGTTAGAAACATATGCATATATATATGTGCTTCTTTATATATATATATGTCAGATTCTGAATCATATGTGAGGGGCGCTGAAAAGTTCTTGGCCCAATCTACTTCACAGGTGATTAACCAAGCTTACTTTGATGTGCTACAAAGTCATATGCAGTAGGGAAAGAATAATGAATTCAGATTTATGGCCTGGAAAACCAGCATTTGAAATCCTGACTTTTACTAAGTTCGTTCGTAGGCCAGTGCTAAATGCATAATAAACTAAGTTTGTGTATGTATATATGTATAGAGGGCGGAATGGATCGAGAATCCCGTAAAACTTAAGTAAGTATTGCACTATTAATCCACTAGCTATACAGATGGATAATGATTAGCTAGGTAGTTAGCTAGCTAGCTAGATAGATAGATAGATAGAATTTAAAATAACTTTTGGGACATAATATTGTTGCTGATAATGATGATGATTTTATTCTTTCTTATTGAAATAAAATCGACTTGACCAATAACGGTTTGACAAAATCAGTGCAAAATCACAGAGGGCAAACCAAAAGCGGAAGTAAAAACTGTGTGAAGAAAAATCTAGAAGGAAAACGAAAGAATAAAAGATGGAAGAAAAAGAGGAAATAACTTAGAAAATAAAGGAAGAACTGAAAGATGAAGAAGAAAAATCGAGAAAAGTATATGAAATAAAAAAAGAAAGAATATATTAAGAGCAAAAGAAGACAAATAAAAATCACAGGAGATAGAGTAAATGAAAAAAATAGAGAGAAGTAAAGAAAATCGTAAGTAAATATGTGAAAAGAATAGGTTAAAATAAAGAAGAAATTAACAGATTTCAAAAAGACAGTGAAACTAAGATGGTTATGAAATACAGGGCAAAAAAAAAAAAAAAAAAAAAGGCGGAAATTAATAAAAAAAAGTTTTTAAAAATTCCACTGACATTTGATAAAAGAGAAAAGATCTGAATTTTGTTCGCATGAATTTTTAAAAAAACCCGTAAAACGTGAAAGAACGCCATGAATATTTAATTGTAATATAAATTTACATTTGAAAAATTTATCTTTTTTTGTTCACCCAATTTCCAAGAACGGTTTTAATGCCAAGCTTCATTTTTACTTAGCTAGCAGCGAGAAACCATTGTATAAACTTGTGAAATGCATTAGTGACGCATTCACCATGACAATGCACTTTTCTATTGTTCATATCCAGTGCAGGATTTTATGACAAAACACTATATCGCACGGGATTGTCAACTCTACATACATTCCAGATTTGTTTCCTCAAAACTAAAATCATATTGAAACATCAAGGAGATAATTAATGAAAACGCAACTAGGATCCTGATGTTGATCCCGAAAATCATATTGAAGGTTGATGTAAAATGGACATTACAATGAGGTTCAAATGGGTGCATTTTGAAAATAAGAAGGTAGACAATTTTTCATTAATGTTAAATGATTTGATGTTTTTCGGACGAACATGAAACAAAATGGATAAATAAAAAGCTAGTCTTAGCAATCTGTTTTTAGTATCAATTACGATATTCCGTTCTTATTGGCGTTGAGTAATTTATCTTCTACAAAGAAAAATTGTGTTTTATTTTATAGACTAGATTCATAAGTATATGTTTAGCCTTATATACACGCATGTAAATGTATATATTTCAACTGTATGGACTTCATATATAAACTGTGTGCTAAGTAATAGGTAAAAATTATAATATGAAAGAAAACGATATTTTGAAAATAAAATTGTAGGTGAAAACCTTAATCTCAGCAAAAGGAATACGTATTATTCAATAAGGTCTTATGGCATTGGAAGCGACTACACGCCCAGATAATTTGGTTCTTGTTAAAAGGCTCACGATGGCAACAAACGAATCCTTGGTATTTTGAAAACATTTTGAACTCTCGACAATGCTCCAGACCTACTGAATGCAAATTAAGATGTAAAATTTTCGACAAGTCAATTCTAGATTACGTGAGCTATATGCCAGGTCATAGAATATTTTTGAAAGACGTACGTAGAGATGCTGGGACACACTTGATCTAGCGTGTCTTACAAGACTGTCTGTAAATGTGTCTGTCTGGTAGGGTTATGATATATTAAATATTTTTTCTATTAAGGTCTTTATTTGTATTTTTGTGACAAATATTTATGCATGTCATTCTAATAATACGACACTTGAAATTCCCAAAACTTCCTAAGGTCCGCCCTCTCATTCGGTATCAAGCACCGACTGTCGCCCAGCCTTAAACTCGCGGATACAGTTGGAAATTGTTGCATGTGAAGGTCAGGCATCTCCATTCGCTTCTTGCAACTGATGAACTGATAAATATCCGAAGGACGTTTGCATGCAACTGGGAGACGAAATTGTGCATTTAAAGAAGATATTTCATGACATAATTTCGAATTGTATTGGAATGGAACCCATAGAGAATATTCCGAAACCAATTGAACTGTTGAATAGGATCAATGTATTGTGGTTGTCGGAAATTTTCCCTAATATTTTCGTTTCTCTCTGAATGTTTTGCGTCATTCCTGCTACAGTTGCATTTGCAGACCGCTCTTTTCATCACTTAAAACAAATAAAGAACTATCAACGCACAGCAATACTTGAAAATACCGCCTTACCAACTTGGGAACCCTTGCAATTAAGTGTGATTTTGCACGAGAATTAGACTTTGAGGAACTCATCGCGCATTTTGCTTTAGTCAAAGATCGAAAAATGCACTTTTAAGCAGCTTTGGGACCGGTTTTAGTCTTCGTATTTTTTCAATAAAATACCAATTTGGAATTTTTCTCTCTACTTTTTGTAAAGAAGCCCTCCACCCAAACCCCTAAATGTATTTTCTTGAAGCCCCAAGGCCTGTCACATTTGTGCTGGCTGCCCCCCATGCCTACGGCACTGAATCTAAGCAAGTTGATAAAGCCATTAACACACACGGAGGGAGTGAAAGAGAATGAGAAAACTTTAGAGAGGAGAAAGGACAATAAAAGAATAGGTTTCAAGAAGGCAGAAGATAACGATTGACGTTGCATTTAAATTTCGATGGTCGATAATTAAATATGAATGCACATATATAAATCTGTGATAAAAAAAATCGACTTCGTGACGGATGCGAACACTCGATCTTCTTAGAAAGTTTGTCCGTCTCCAATGTCAGCACTTTATTTAAATCACTGTCCATCCTTTTGTTCTTTTGTTGCGTGTGCCATTTTCCGTCACTAGTTGAATTCCTCAAGAAATTCAGTCACTATTTATCAAATCAACCACGTTGAACTCAAGAAACAAATAGTCTCTGCTGAAACGTTTTCTTTGGTCTGCTTAAAATAGACACGCGTTCACAAAATATCCGAATATCTTTTATTCTCATCAGACATTGACGCAAATTCTTGTAAATGAACAAAGATTGTTTAGTTTTATTTCGTAAGTATATGTGTGTAGATATGCGTGTGTATGTAGCGGTGGGGGGTGGCAACGAATCTTCAGACATCACCCAGACAAATTTAGAATAGATACACAGAAAAGAAACATTTTCGACTTTGACTCTGCAACTTTTCTAGGTGTAACTCTCACGACAACTCTCGACTGGTCGGTGAGAGCTGGGATTAAGCTGAACATTCAGAATATAACGTAAAGCGAGATTTCGGTTGCGTAAATCGAAACATAAAGTATGATTTGAAATGTTTTTTTTTTCAGCAGGGAAACCTGATATCTTTGCGATTTTCTGCGAAATCTTACTGAAGACAATTTCAGACATACATATTTCTGCCTGAGTGTTCCATGTCTTTTTTTTTAATTGAACCCTTAATCCTCCTCTTACTGCAGAAAATGAATACCCAACTTCGTTAATTGTCATTTTTGTCACTGTATCAGATGAAATATCATCATCATTATTATCAGTCAATCACATGACCGGGTGTGGTCACGGTACCACTGTACCGCTGAGCAGCCAGCTCTGCCCACATATTTCGATTGCATGCCAATGCTTTGGACTCCGTGATCAATGATCCAGTAACAATGTCAGTAGCGACGACTGATTTGGTATGAAAGTCGCAGAAATATTTATTCATGTCTAGCATGACTTGTACAATTAGACCTGACGGAACCCATCCCTTTTCAAGTCAGACAAGAACGGATTGTTTTCTTCAACTTGAAGGGACACCTTGGTTAAGGGCGTGTGACAGCTGATTTCATCAGAGGAACCCAACTCCCTGGTCGTTGGAAGCCCTGGATAATTTTTTTTAAGCATTTCATCCCAAGCAAGGCGGGATTGCCACTAGTACGCAAGGGGCTACAGAAACTGAAAGTAAGGGAAGAGACTAGGTTTAGGGGTGATTGAGAAATGGATAAAAAAGAAGAACGGAGAAGGATAAAAAAGATCGGCTTTAAAGGCATCAGAAGATGACGATTGAAATTACATTTAATGTTTTGAAGATTATAGTTATCAGAGAAGTAAGTATGAAGAAAGGAGTTCCACTATCGAGAAGTGCGAGAGAAGCAGCTGTTGTAGAAGAGGCGGTTACATTTAACTGGAAGTAATAAAGTGGGACCAACCTAGTACCACGCTTAAATTCATGCAGTCGGGGCACCAGTGAAAATAGCTCGTCAGAGCAGATGTCATGAATATATTTATAGAAAAGACAGAGGGAAGCCATATTACGTTGATGTGAAAGTGACTGAAGTCGAGACCCCAAGTCAGGACCGATCAAGTTGCATATGTGCCTTTGGATTTTATCGTGAACCTCGAGATAAACAACGGGGGCACCAGACCATATATGGCAACAGTAGTATATGCATGGACGAATGGTAGATTTTTAGATGTAAAAGATGGACTCAGACAAGAAAAATCTTCTGGCGCGACACAGAGAACAAACTTTCCTTGCGGTTGATGCAGCTATTGATTCAATGTAGTTGTTCCACCTCAGGTCAGCGAGGCCAAGAGTGCGCAGTGAGGCGCTCTCGTGAAGTTTAGCATCAACCATGCTGACAGGAGGTAGGGAAGGTTGGTGAGTAAAGGACAGCAGTTTCGTTTTGGATGTATTAAAATTCTTAAGCCATTTCTCGTCACAGTCAACCACAGATTGGAAGTGGTTTTCGAGACCAAAAGCAAGATTTACTACTGAGACATAGGTAAATGGTAATGTCGTTTGCGTAGATGCCTACTTGAGAACGGATGACATCAGGAAGATCATTGAAGAAGATTAGAAACAATGTAGGACCCAGGATAGTAAGGAACACCAGCGTTCGTATGGAAGGAACTGGAAGAGAACACTTTCAGGATAACCTTCATTTCACGGTTAGACAGGAATGATTGGATACTGACAGCAGTTCAGTCCCATGTTTTAACCTGCAGCTGCGGTCGTTAGTGTCTCTTTGTTGAACTCCTCACTGTTGAACTCCTCACTGTTGAACTCCTCACTGTTGAACTCCTCACTGACTATTTGTTTGAACTCCCCATTATCTCTTTGTTGAAGTTCCCACTGGAGACAGCTGAAATTTAGAATTATTGTAACTGACATCAACACGGAAATTAAAATGGGCGAATCGAGTTCAAATTATGGCTAGTCTGTTGTATTTTCGTACTAATACGCTTAGGAAATGGATCATACCTTCTCTTTTATCTCTGGCTATGGGTTAAATAACAGGATAGCCTTAGGTGACAGTCATTCTAAGAAGACAATAAAATTAATTAAAAACCGTGGAGAAGGTAATCGGAGTAAGCTCCATTATCTTTTTCAAGAGTGCATGGCAATTCGCAGATAATAAAAAGGAATCTGTGGAGATCTATGCAGGGACATGTCATTAAAACAAAACAACTTTTGTTTTCAATAACTCTTATTATTTCTTGAGTTTCTTCCTAAATATACGATGATATGACTAGAAATAACAACCTAACTTGCACCATATGAGTATAATGTTGTAAAATTATCATTACTCTATTGATCAGGGACACGTAAAAGTGATAACATATTAGTTGTTGAGATTCACATCTCTAGAGCGATGGATAGTTTCTTAATAGCCTGGTGGAAGCTAATGGCAATTTTATTGAATAAATTTACTCTTTAGTAAGATATTTATATATATATATTAAGGTTATGAAATTTTGTAAAAGAATAGATTTTCTATATCATAATTTGATGAACTTTTGTTAAAAAATAATGAAGAATGGTTTGATTCGGTTATTTTTTTTTAAATGCCCCCCCAATCTCTAAAATCGTATATAAGTATAGTAGTAATATGACATTCTGGAGCCATCTAGAAGTTTCTGCGCCTTCTAGAATTTGTTTATGTTTATTTGTAAGTTTGTATGTTATACTATAGCTATAAACTCTTAAGTATGTTAAAGATACAAAAGTACTATCCAATTACATTCTTAGCAAATTGAAAAATAAAACCTCTGAAATTTGAGATTTTTTACCCTTATTGTATATAGGGTAAATTAGAATAGTTGGTTTGGAGTGACCTTTTGCAAGAATTAAAACAAATTAATGTCTTTTTCATTAGTTTTGAACAAAAGTTTATCGATTTATGACACAGGGACATTGGGTTACAAAAGAGTCATAACCCTAACAATCCTCTCAGCATGTTTTTACAACCGATATGATGATGGAAGGCCAGCCATATTGTTAGAAGAAAGGAAATGGGGAACAGCTCGAGAAAGAGAAGAAGAGAGAATGAAATCGGTAAACATAGAGACGCAAACCTCAAGAAACTCAAAAAGAGAGACAGAAAACGAGGAAGAAAGGCAACAACACAAGTTGTAAAATATCTTGGTTAAATAAAACGTTTAATTCAACGAAGAAAAATGGAAAAAAATTAAAAATGATAGAATCTGAAATTTAAGGAAAGAAAGATTAAAAATAAGAAAATGTAGAAAATTAGAGCCTCGAATTATATATGTTTCTACAATTCCCCGTTCATCCTTTCTACAATATTAAAAACAAATGTCCTTCCACGCTTCCAAGATTTTCAGATTCCATTGTTGCAGTTATGGAAAAATCAAAATTTAAACGGTTTTAAATTTTCCACTGAAACCCTAAAATTTTCTACAACAGGTTGACAGCTACTCCCCTAGTCAAGCTCGTTTGCTAAATTAGTTCAGCTGCACTAAACTGACGAATTATATATATTTATGAATATTTTCAAATATTTAATTTTATTCCGTTTGATAGACAAAAATATAATGTCATAAAATGCTGTTAGATACTACAGTACCAAATGACCCCTCGAATAAAGTATCTGTTAAATGGATTCTCATTTCTGATATGTAGAAATGTTATATTTCTACACCTTATCTCAGCGAATGCTTATAGCAATATATTAAAACAGGTGATGATCAAAATAATAATAAATAATCAGTACGATTAAGTTCGAGCTCATGTGAAAGCCGGAATTTTGACTGTTGATATTAAAAACAAACTAATTTATTGACTTGGAAGACTGAGGCACTCTTCCTATCCTTCATTCATTTTCCTTCTGATGACTTAAGCTAAGTTTAATACTTACAATTAAAAAAGAAATCTATTTCAATGAATTTGGTATTGTAGATTTTATTAGAACATTGATATGGTATATACTTGGAAATGTCCTTTACTTGCTATGAGCCTAAAAGCGATTGTAGGTACTCGAAGCAAACTCGATACCGTTACTACAGCCGAAATCTCTTTTGTATGTTAGAATATAAAATGTGAAAAATACAGAGTCAAAGACAGAAACAAAGAGCGATTGTTTTTAAAAGTTTATTTATTTATTATATTCTCTCTCTCTCTCTCTCACTCTATCTCTGTGTGTGTACAATTATTCAAGAAAGAAATAAGGAAATGTAACAGAGCAAAAATGTGTACACAGCAACACAATTTATGTAAGGAAAGGATAAAGATAAAAGGGAAAGAGACGCAGGAGGATGAGGCGAAGGCAAAACAGAACATAATATAGGGAGGGAGGGAGGGAGAGAGAGAGAGAGAGAGAGAGAGAGAGAGAATGAGGATTATTCTTGAATAATCACCAAAATTGACGGCCAAATCGACAAGACTTGACAACTAAACCAAGAAACCGAAAAGCAAAAAGAAAAAGGCAAAAATAAACCATTTCGCCCTGCATCGACCTTTCCATTGCAAACCATTCATTCGTGACGAGATAATACAAGTCAAACCTCCAATGCATCGCTAACTCAAAGCTGAGGGAGGCCTGACCCGGTCGCATGCAAATCGCAGCTGCACATAGGCTGTGTGTGCAGACGTCATATTCTGTTTTGTTACTAAGCTCGTTAAAAGGCGTTTGCAGTTTTGGGGTGGGCGCATTGCGTCATGAGAAAAGTTGTTCGTCATGTGACTCTCATAGATTTAACATTGGAAAATCTGTTAATTGCATTGGCATATTTTTTAGCTTTATTGGAGTTGTAGTTTTAATTTCCATATTTTGGTAATGGGGAGAGTGAAAGAAATTGTAATATATATATATATATATATATATATATATATATATATATATATATATTGATTTTATGTTTTCATTTGTGTTTCTTTGTGTAACAACTACGTTGAGACGTTTTAGTAGCTGTGTATTGATCTCTCATTACA